ACGTAACGGTGGCAGCGGCTTCGACACCAGACTCTTTCTTGCAGCTCCCTTTCCTTTTCTTCGCCTAGCCAGCGAAGATGCGCTCTTTAGTGGCGATGGGAGCGATCGACCGATCGTGCTTGATCAAGCTTCCTTTATGCGTTTATCGACTGTAACGAGACGTTACTCCGCCAACTACGACCGCCGCGGAGGTTCTTGTGAGACATGGTCGCGACACTAGGAGTACCCTCGCGACACGAGGAACAGTAGTGCGACTCGACGACTGCATTGATCTGACCCAGTGCCCGAAACGGTGAGTACTCGGTCAGTTGTCTGAGGTTGCTGGTGCTGCCTGTTTTCCCTCACTGTCTGTTTTCGACAGTCGACCTTGCACGTTGCGAACGCGCTGCACACGAACTCGTCTGATGGTGAACGGCCCTGGACGACGTTCGCTGTGCAGCGTCTTCACCTTCTTCGCGCGATTGCATCTGTTTTCAAATACCTTGTCACGTTTGTCGACTTCTTGCTGTTGCGGCGAGGAGCGCAACTTCCGCCAATCAGCCTTTCAAATGTTCGTCATTCGTTGAATTCGCTGCCGCCGAGAAGCATCGATGGACATGTGCAGCATCTGTTCCTTCCCTCCACCTCACAATCAGTTTCACTGCCTCACTCGGCGCCCCGCTGTTCTTTATTTGACGTATGCTTCTGTGCTCCAAATTTGCCGTCGCTCATGCAGCCGGTGTTCATGGCGCTTGGTCACCGAACGCGGCGCCAAAATCAGTCCCCCACCGTTTTAGCGAATTATTACCGACCATTATTTCTCTTATGCAACGAAACCGGCTCTTTTGTTACTTAATGCGTGCGAGGTATTTATATCGTCTTCATGTGTTGCGGCAGCTGGCTTTATCCATTAGTTGGAAACTTGCTAGCGTTTGCTAGTTGTCTGCGGCATGAGCGTCCGAAAACGGAACAAGCACATAACTGTTCCCAGCTCTATTCCCTGTTTTTTTGAGAACCGGCAGCAATATGCATTAAAAAACACTTTTTCCCATTTTTCTGTTATGCTTGACTTAGGCATCACCGTTGAACGATCGCACAACAGGACTTTTCTTTCTGGCTTCTGACTTCTGTTTAGCTACAATGCGATTGGTAAAACGAAAACACGGTTTCCTTTGCCGGGAGTATTTTAATCAGCGAATAACTCCTTAACAACCGTTAAAGTGCGTGCGGCATTGCCAACTGCTCCTTTGTCCGTAGCGATTCTTCGTGGTATTTGGGCATCTTTGGTACACAGATGCACCTTGCTTCAATTTACTGACTGTGGCAGCATATGAAACTACTTGAGAAAACATTCGGTAGGACTCCTTTGAAGGACTTTCGAAAGTTGTGCTTCCTCTCTTATGTTTTCTCATCGGTCGGCGTCACCAGCATGATCAATATCTGAAGCTGTTCAACGAAGGCCAGTCGCTCAGTACGTCGTACTTAACAGACGACTTTGTTACCAAGAAGTTCAGTGCTGATGCCACCTATTCTTCTGGTCGATCCCATTAACTGAACATGAACATCCTATCGCAGACTCCCTAGATTTTCGCTGTTTCGCTTCCTGCAGACCCCTCATAACAGCCTTTCCTGTTTTCAGCTAACTTCCTGACAAGTGAGCGACTCTAATTAAGAATCGTGTCTCTGAGGTGTTGAACCTTGATTTTACGCACTTGTCCTGAGATGAACGATTTACTTGTTGTTACGGAGGCGGAGTGGCGCGCCACGCCGTTGTTGTAGTGACAGTGTTAATTTTGACCTAACGGGGCTTTAACAGCAGAGTTTCTCAAGGTAGTGATTAAATGAATCGCTCTGTCATAACTGTTGTTATGTAATGTATCAGAAACCGATACTCCTTCTTATTTGTTTTCCAAATGCATCAGAAGAAGGCAAGGCCTTGCTGTAAATTGAAAAATTTATAAAGCGCTTTTTTATGGACAACGCAAGTATATTTATCAGTCGGGTGATTGACCAGTGCCGATGTTTCGGCTCGTCTCTCAGGTCCTTGTTATTCGTGGTTCAGGTTGATTTGCGCAGTTGGTTCCGTAGTCCACAGCTGCTATTTGACTGTGTTTGGATCCAAACCCGTCCAAGGAGGAGAACCTTACAATGAATCACCTGCGCTATATTTTCTTCAGTAGGCCTTGTCACGCTTATCATCTGCCAATCGAAGATCATTTGTAGTACTGTTTTCCCGGGCCCAGGCGCAGTTCTGCCTTTTTTGCAGTCGAGAAACTTACGTTTCGCCGGTACGTTTCATGGAATGAGTGTTTTTGCTGATCACCTTTTATTATTGTCCAACCGTCGAAAGGAACCGATGGGTTCCAGCTAAACAGAAAGTGTATACGGAAGGTTTTTAACAATGATCAGTCGTAGGACGCACTTATAAAATGCAGTATAATTATATGACAGGGTGTCAGCGCACAAACAGTTTGCGTCTGCTGCTGTATTGGAATGTAGTCGCCTTGGCTACACGTTTTGAAACTATGGCACTCACTCACGCCGACTGGCCAGTCGGAGAACGTCGCTTATATAAGTACTTTCGGGTATTTCGCTTTGAGCCGTTCGTCGGTCACATGAGTGAACGCCAAAGAACCGATTTAGGCAGCAACACGCATTCGCTTGGTTGAAGATTTATGATCGCTTAGCTCCGTGTCCGAGTCATAGATCATAATTCATATCGTTTACATAGGCATGCGGAGCTGGTTTTTATTATCCCCGCTTAACGTGTAGTGTAGACTTCGGTTTACGGTGTGAAGAAACGCTAGCAATGACCGAAGACCGATCATCGGTTAGTACTTTTTCTCTTGGTCGCTAGAACGACGTCGGGCCACGCGTGTGGCCGACCGAACTTCGTTTCATTCTTGCACAATCCGAGATTAAGGTGCCGATCGACTCGCGAAAGCCCCTTACTTAGTCGTGACTCCGACCGTCTTGTTTCGTCGCCGACAGAAATGATGCCACTCTCGGTCGGCGACCTAATTGTCTGTGTCTGCTTGTCCTTCAGTTCCGTCTGTCTGAAAGTGCGAACTCGAGTCACCGACAGTCCGAAACTTAAGTCACCCCACTACCAGTACATCATTTCATGATGCCAGATTAAAATCTTCGATTCACTGGTCGTATTGATCTGTTAGATGTTGTTGACTGCGTGGTCAACAGGTGAACTCATTTGTGCTTTACTATCGCGCTATCATCTAGCTACCGATAGTTATGTGCGGGAGCGGTAGCTCGCATTTCATATGTCCGAGTTTGCAGTCACAGTTTCTGTTTCCTTAACCGTTTCCAGCTCATGACAAACTTCTGCGCTTGGAATGAACTTACCGCGTTGTACTTCACCTGTGCATGGTAGCCCCTAAACTGGTTGTTGACAAGTGAGCGCATTTTCATATCTTCTTCGACATCTGGAGGTACTCCACCGTGTAAAGTTCACCCCATGAATAATACCGAACATTGCTTTGTGTGTACACCTCGAATGTTTTGTCGCAGCGCTTCAGAAAATGCTATATCTGTCCAATATTTTACTCGTGTTGCCTCATGGATCGAAGACACTGACGGTGCAGAAGGTGGAAGTAAGTAATTTACTAGCGTTCCAGATTATGAACCAGATGAACTAGACACTGCGAAATCTTCGGCTTCGTTGGATGTGAAATAACTTCAAACGCAGCCGTTGCCAGATTCACCGGGCTGCTTGTTCGTTTGGTGCGGTTATATAAACAAGTGCCCCTGGCCCCGGTGTACTGGCAGTGATTATAAAATATTCACTACCCCTGTC